GCAGACCAGCGGCTGCGCGGCCATGTCCACCCCGAGCTCTGCTCTGAGCATTGGCAGTGGCTTCACCCCCGGACCTAAGACGGCCGGCCCCCTCCCTCCGCATCCGGGGGCGCCGCACCCGAGGATTCAGCCCCCCTCGGGTTGAAAACGCTTTGGGGCAGTGGTTCTCAACCTTCTGGCCCTTTAAATACAGTTCCTCATGTTGTGACCCAACCATAAAATTATCGTTGCTACTTCATAACTGTAATGTTGCTACTGTTATGAATCGTAATGTAAATATCTGATATGCAGGATGATCTTAGGCGACCCCTGTGAAAGGGTCGTTCCACCGCCAAAGGGGTCGCGACCCACAGGTTGAGAACCTGAGAACTGCTGCTGGGCGAAAGGCACGTGATGTTGTTGCTGACATGAAGTTAGGCCGCGTCTGTGCTGAACGTGCTGGGGCTTTTTACTCATCGTCATTATTCCCCAAACAGCACAGCAGACCAGCTGGTCCTCAGTGTTCACATGGTGTGCCGTGTTCTTAGGGGCCGTTTAGGCATCACTTAGAGTCCAGGTTACGTGCAACTGCTACGCTTTCTGTATGTAAGGGACTTGAGCATTCTCAGATTTCGCCATCGGAGGGGCCTGCGGCCAATCCCCGAGGACACCGAGGACACCGAGGGTCCACTGCATGTTTCCTCACAAGCCATTTGCATTTCCTCCTCCCATCCTCCTCCGTCTTCTCTCTACCCCCGTCTCCACTAAATTACTTTATTTTAGACCAGCGGTTCTCAGCCTGTGGGTCGAGACCCCTTTGGGGGTCGAACGACCCTTTCACAGGGGTCGCCTAAGACCATCGGAAAACACATATATAATGACATATTGTTTTTGTGATGAATCACTATGCTTTAATTATGTTCCATTTGTAACAATGAAAATACATCCTGCATATCAGATATTTACATGACGATTCATAACAGTAGCAAAATTACAGTTAGGAAGAAGCAACGAAAATAATTTTATGGTTGGGGGTCACCACATGAGGAACTGTATTAAAGGGTCGCGGCATTAGGAAGGTTGAGAACCACTGTTCTAGACTCTGGGAAGCTGAAGAGGAGAGGATGCCAGCGCTGTGAGTAGGGGCAGTCCTACCCATGAGAAGAGGAGGAGGAGGGCAAGGCCCGGCTCCTGCTCCTCCCGCCAAGTGAACATGGTAGGAGAACCAGCTAGGTCGGGTCTGGGCACGCTTTTCTGTTCGGCAGCTCACAGACTTTTTTTTTTTTTTGTCACTTTAACTTCAGTGATCTTTGGTGCCCCTGAAGGTAAATAACACACCTGAGTCATAAAGCTGCAGATGCGTTGAGTTCAAAGTTTTGTTTTCTGCTTTTAAAGCCCTCCATATATTATGGCCAAGGTAGCTTGGAATCCAGCCTCCTGCCCGGCCTTCCTCTGGGATTATGAAGGTTGGCTGAGCAATCTGCTCTGGAGAAACCAGGTGTAACCAGACCTGGGCGGAGGGCTTCCGGGGTTGTTTGTGGCACTTTCTCCAGCTCTGTGCCAGTGTCTCTGGGGCAATCCCGCCAGGTTGCTGCTGCTAGAGCTCCCGGCGAGAACCTGCCTTTGTTATGCAAGTCGCAGAGCACACAGCGTCCCAGCCTCCTGTTCGTCACCAGCACAAGAAGGAGGAGAGGGGTCAATAGGAATTCTGGGCTTAGGATACCTCTTCACTCTCTCCACCCCCTTCGCTCCACCCCATCACCTTTAGAAGCCCAGCTAGCTCATAATCAAAGACAGGCAAGGCTTCAGAGCTCTGCCTCCAACTTCAACAGGGTCATTAGGATTAAAGTGATATATATAGTCAAAATTAACTTTCTGCACAAATCTAAGTTGATCCAAAGAAAGCAATTAATCCTTTCCCCTCCTCTGTTTCCCTTATCCTTACGTGGAATCATATTTTGTCCCAGCTCTCTAATGTTTTTTTTTTTTTCATTTCCCCAACAACATAGTTGTTTCTTTTGACGACTCTTTAAAATTTCAGTGTCAGGGAGGGTCAGCAATTCCTGGTTTTTCTCTGAGCCTGTCTACTGAAACTCTGCTGCTGTAGCAACTACCAGGCTTTTGAATCGGCTGCAAAGATGCCATTTGGTGTAGTTTTCCAGGTTGTGCTGTTTCCCCAGGGAGAACTCGGAGATCCTGGGTCATGTAGGTATGTTGAGACAGGAAGGGGACTTAGAGCCACAGAAGGAAGGTAGCTTACGGTGGCTTCGCTTCAAAACCCTGGGATGGCCCCACCAACCACGCCGTAACCCTGTTCTGGAAGATCTGCCCACTCAAATCAGGTTCCCCAGAGCAACAACAACAGTGGGTGGGAGTGAGAACTGTGGCAGGCTCAGCCCCCTCTGGAATGAGCCCGTTGAGTGTATTAACGCTGGCCTTTTCGTTAGAGTGGAACTTGGGGGGAAAAAAACAGAGGCTGGATCCTGCAGGAAGAAAAAAAGAGAAAGTGAACCACTTATAAAGATAAAGGGAATCTTTCTCACCCGCTTTGTGTGGTGAGCTAAACCTACTGGAAGTCAGGCCCAAGAGATACACAAGCCCAAATGGATGAGGCTATCCTGCTGTCAGCTCCATGGGGTTTGGAAAGAGCTGAGAAATGACTCCATTCCATTTGACTCTCCTGGACATTCTGCAGTGATCTTCATGGTGACATCAGCTGCCTCTCCACCTGCTGTGACTTACTAGTGGGTGTTCTGCATAGGAAAGGACCCCTTTACACTTTCTTCCCAAAGTGTGGTCATTTTCATAACACTTTATCTCAGTGGTCCCCAAAGCATTTTATGGAGCAATCTAAAACAATTATGGGGAAAATGCAGACATTTAGGGAACAGAAATGAGAAAATCCTTTGGCTGAAATAATCTATCCTTTATTTCACAAAGTCACTCAGTATCATAGAACCTGTCTGGGTGGTAAATAGATTCAAAGTCCTGGGGGAAATGACCCAAAGATTATATTGTTTTTACTATCTTGTTATGTTCTCTGAGTGAATTTAGAAAGTCAATGATATTCAAAGCAGGGTAGTCTTTTACTTACAACCTTACAAATCAACATTGACGTGTGTCCTTAAAAAAAATAAAATTAAAGACCAACTCTTAATTCCTTACATTATGAAACAAAAAGGAATTTGTTCTAACCAGCAGACCAAAGGGCCATTCATCGAGTAAGAGATAGATGAATTGGACTGAAGGGGAAGTATGGGGGATTAATCTAAGTTACTGATTGTTTCTTTTCTCAAAAATCTTCTTGGCAAAGATTAAATTGCACCAAATATCAATCAATTTTATGATAATAAGACTATCAAACCTGTTTCATTACAACTGTCTAAACATGATTTTCCTATTGAGCAGCCTATCCATCCAGAGTTCTGATTATGCTATAACTTAGGAGACCCCTTGAATCAAATATTAATATTTGTACAGTGATTACAGTAGTTGATTTGTACAGGGACTCTAAAATTAAATATAGTGTGTCATCTATAGCTTCAGAAAAGACGAAATGGAAAATTACTTTCTAACCTTTGTTTTTTGCTGGAAAAACTTGTAAGATGACATATTCAAAGTGGTATTATAATAACAAAATACTTCTTTAAAGTGCTCTATTTAAGCAAAATCTTTTACATTATTCAGTGCAATGCCTTTCAGACTGTATTTATCCAAGGAACCTTTTCCAAACAAAATATTAAATAGAAGCCAAATAAATAGGTAAAAAGCAAAGGTGCTAAGAAGACAGGGGAGGAATGGATTTCATTCTTTGAATCCTCACAAGGGCCACTAAAGTAACTTCGAGGAACACTGGGGTTTTAGGAAGTGTGAAGACTTATCAAAAAGAAAAGAAAAGGCACTATTTGAGATGACATTCCTTGCAACTGTATGTATATATGTGTTCCTGAAATATTCAATTAATATCTGCTTCCTATCTTTATCATTCTCATTCTGAAGCTATAACTTTTGTGGCATTTTATGATAGCACAAATGGATTCTGTGTCTATGAGTTTCAAATTCTAAGTTGTTTTTTTTTGTTTGTTTGTTTGTTTGTTTTTATTCTAACAGTTCAGCAAAGGCCAGAGGGCATGTTAGGTCAAAATACATGTGACCTCAATGAATTATTCAGATAAATATTTCTATCTTGTAGAATAACAGTAACACCTCACTAAATGATTGTCAAATTATGATTAGGACCTTAGAGAATATTTCATCCAAAAAAAACCCAGATTTTTTTTTTTTTTTTTTTTAGTTGAGAACACAGGTCCTAGAAGTTGAGGAACTTCCCCAAGATTACAGGGGTGCATTCCAGAACACAATTCTCATGCCCCTGAGGCCCATGCTTTTTCCAGTACTTTATGTATCACAGCGTATAAATTAACATGAAATTCTTACAACTTGCAAGTATCAAA